CAGTTAGGAAATCCATGTTTATTGGGTTCCTGAGGACCTTCTTGAGCACTCTGGCATTTCATGATGCCAGACCAGGGGCAGTGGTTGTACCTGGGGTCCCTCGGGAATGTGGGGAGGCAGGTCTTGGGGGAGTTTCACTGAGAAGCAACTGGACCAGGAGGGACCTCCTGGGCACCTGTGGTCAAGTGAGTTTTGGAAACTCAGTTTCCCATTGTTTAGGAAAAACTTTCAAACTGATTCTCCTCTGCTCTCATATCACAGCATTCAACACAGAAGACTTCTGTCAGCAAATGCCGGTCGGTGGCGGGCGGGGGGGGTTCCTTCACACACACCAAGTGGCAGACATCAGCAGGGTGTTGTTAATTAAATTCCAACCTGGAGATAGTGTCAGATCTCCCAGGGTGAGGGCTGAATCCCCAAAGCTGTCCCTCAACACCAGTTGCAAGTACAGGCTTCCAGAACTTCTGATGAGCAACTTTAAGTTGGGGTTCTCACAACCCTCCCTTTGGATTTGATTAATTTGCAAGAGTAGCTCACAGAGCTTAAAGAAACACACTTGCCAAGTTACTATAAAGGATATTGCAAAAAATACAGATGAAGAGATGCGTAGCGTGAGGTATGGGGGAAGCGGCACAGAGCTTCCATGCCCTCCATACATGTGCTATCCACCAGGAACCTCCACCTGTTCAGCTACCTAGAAGCTCTCCCAACACTTCTTTGGCCTTTGGGCTTTTTTCTTTTTTTTTTTTTTTTTTTTGAGATGGAGTCTTGCTCTGTTGCCCAGGCTAGAGTGCAGTGGTGCGATCTCTCCTCACTGCAACCTCTACCTGCTGGGTTCAAGAGATTCCCCTGCCTTAGCTTCTCAAGTATTGGGGATTATAGACGTGCACTACCACAACAGGCTAATTTTTGTATTTTTAGTAGAGATGGGGTTTCACCATGTTGGCCAGGCTGATCTCAAACTTCTGACCTCAAGTGATCCACCCGCCTCGGCCTCCCAAAGTGTTGGGATTACAGGTGTGAGCCACCGCGCCCAGCCCTTTGGGCCTGTAAGGAGACTTCATTGACTGTCCATGAATGATGCATGTCATGTCAAATTGTGAATGGACAAAAAGGTTATGATAGAAACCCAGCAAGGCCTGTCTGTTTAGATTCTTCTTGGTCTCTCCATGCAACATTCCGTCCTTCAGAGTAGAGGGAGGACCCTCTATGGAATGAAGGTCTTATGACCTGCAACAAGATTAGAGTCCTGCCTTGGGCAAGTGAAAGGAGGAGAGAGGAAGGTTAGAGGGAGATTTTCTGTTTCCTGAGGTCTGCTTCTGATGCCTAAAGTGCCCCCAGCATTATGACAAAAGACCGCAACAAGGGTTAAGGGAGATATGAGCTACGAACCATGGACAAAAACCAACTTGCATATAATCATAGTATCACAACCATGAAACAGCTTTCCAGGTACTTCGTGTCCACAGACTCTGGAGCTGTCTGGCAGTTCTGCTAATCATTCACCACCTGTGGGTACTTGCTCAGCTGCTTGTGGGCAGTGTCTGGTTTGGAATGGGCAATTCCTATCTTCAAAGTCCTGGGATCAGGATGTTCATGTTTTAATGAACTATATGCAGCCTTGATGTCTGGCCAAGGCGGAGGACTGAACACCCCAGACAGGACTGTACGTGGGGCTACATGCCCTGCATTCATCCCACATTCAACCTCCCATTGCTATTGAGTCAGTGCTGCTGTTCTCCCTCCTCTTCTGACCATTCATGCCCAGCTCTCAGCTGCCAGGAGCAACTGTGCAAATGAGTGTGGGAGCCGGAATAAGCTCTGCTACTCCCGCCTCGTGTGGACCACAGAGCTGAGGTTCAAGAAGCAATATTAAGAGTGACCATTGTGATAGATGCCAATACTGCCCCCCCCAACACCAAAAAAGAGTGACTAAATGCAATTACTCTTGAGGCCTGAACACCAGGGATCCCGGAGGAGCAACAAACTGCCTGCTTCTCCCAGGACAAATCCAAGAACCAAGGAGAGTCCCTGGGGTTCTCTGTGATTCACTTCAAAAGTATCACTCTCATATTTTCCCTTTAAATAATCTCCTTTCTCTGAGCATTCAGGTCTACAGTGCTTCCATGAATTTTGATAGTTCACCAAAAGGAGAAAGAGACAAAGATGCTCACCTCTGTGTCACATCTATACCTTTTTATTTTCACTGTAGAAATAACTGAGTCCAACACTCACATTTTGTAGATAAGGGCATGACACTCAGGAAATCAAGAGAAAACCAGAACTAGAATCCAGATTCTGACTTCACATTAACGTATTTCCACTTCCTCATGCTGCCTTCTGAAGGCTGTCTCTACATCTCACTGGTGACAATGATCACCTCCAGGTTGTGGGGTTACAGATGATTTTTGTTGTTGTTGTTTGAGATGGAGTTTTGCTCTTGTTGCCCAGCCTGGGGTGCAGTGGTGCAGTCTTGGCTCACTGCAACCTCCGCCTCTCGGGTTCAAGCAATTCTCCTGCCTCAGCCTCCCAAGTAGCTGGGATTACCAGCATGGGCCACCATGTCCAGCTAATTTTTGTTTTTTGAGATGTAGTCTTGCTCTGTCGCCAGGCTGGAGTGTAGTGGCACAATCTCAGCTCACTGCAACCTCCTCCTCCCGGTTCAAGCAATTCTCCTGCCTCAGCCTCTTGAGTAGCTAGGACTACAGGCACACGCCACCACGCCCAGCTAATTTTTGTATTTTTAGTAGAGACGGGGTTTCACCATGTTGGCCAGGATGGTCTTGATCTCTTGACCTCAGGATCTGCCCGCCTCGGCCTCCCAAAGTGCTGGGATTACAGGTGTGAGCCACCGTGCCTGGCCGCTAATTTTTTATTTTTAGTAGTCACAGGCTTTCATCATGTTGGTCAGGGCTGGTCTTGAACTCCTGACCTCAAGTGATCCACCAGCCTTGGCCTCCCAAAGTGCTGGGATTACAGGCCTTAGCCACTGTGCCTGGGCTTACAGATAATTTTTAATGTTCTTTTTGTTTATATGATTTATGTTGTACCAAAGGGATGTGGAAGGAAGGAAGGAAGGGAGGGAGGAAAGGGGAGGGAGGGGAGGGGAGGGAGGGGAGGCGAAGGAAGGGGAGGGGAGGGAGAAAAGCCTGGCACAGTGGCTCACACCTATAATCCCAGTGCTTTGGGAGGCAAAGCAGGAGGATCACTTGAGCCCAGGAGTTCAAGACCAACCCGGGCAACATAGTAAGAATCTGTCTTTAAAAAGAAAAAAAAAAAAAATTACCTGATTCTTCTACAATGAATGTATATTAATTCTATAAGAACACCTAAAAATTGAAATTAAATAATCAAAGTAAATTCCTTCAGAAAGCAGAATTAGGTTTTGTTTTTCTAGCCTACCTTCACACTCAACTTCCCAGCCATATCAGATCTCACAACTGCAAGAAGTATGAATTATTGCCACACTCAGCGGCAGGGAGAGATATCTAATTTTTCTGGCATGAAGTGGACTTGAGAAAGCGTAAGTTAGGCATTTGGATGGGAGAGAGGGCTCAGAGGCAGCACTATGATGTGTGTGTAAACTCTCCTCCTCCCCACTGGGGGCGCCATCAGCACAAAGGTGCTGCCTCCCCTTTACAGCATTGCTTGTAGTGTGAGCACGGATGATTACGCAGCGGACTGAGTCAGCAAGGTTCATCATCTGCGATGAACTTCCACTCCCCTCAGCACACCTGTCACCCTCAGAGAGACTGCTGCTCCGGGTCCCTCTGCAATAAACCCAGAACCACTAGTGTGCCTGGGGATGCTTCACATTCCCTGTAACTTGTTCTCCACTAACCCCCTTTCTCAGGCTCAGAGGGCTGTTACCCAATACCTAGAATGCTGTCTTCCTAGGTGCATTAGACACTCGTCAAGTAATCACTGAGAAAGGAAGCTGGTGACTATTTCACATTAAAATATCAGTGGCCAATACCAACTTACTGGGGTAATTCCTCTCAATGAATCTCCATTTTCAGGATTCTTCCTTTCTTGTATCAGATAGGGATGGCTGATAGAAGCAGAGCTATGGGATATGGATGGCTGATAGAAACCAGACCTTACACATTTGTGGGATCTGGTGACAACATCTGGAAAGCTGTTGCCTCTCTGCAGTATCGGGGACCTGAAGTCATTTCAGGTTGAGGTGGCAGCAGTCAGCAAGAACCATATTCTATGAAAAAGGGAAGAGCAAAGAGAAACCAAACGCAAACCTACCAGGACAAACTGGAGCCTATGTCTTCCTCTCCCTGTCTCAGACCTCAATGGCAGGCAACCTGCGGAAGCAACTGGCACCCTTCACACCTTGGAGCAGCTCTAGGCCTGGCTGTTGCTCACCTAGGAGGGAAGCCCACAGATCAGTGACACAATGCATGAGCTACCGCGGTACCTGGCACCCTATGCCTTAGGAGTATTCTTAGGTTGCTGCTTCACTTCTGCCTTCAGATTCTCATGTAAATCTCACCAGTAGCCAAACCTACTTTGGAACCACATTGGGAAGGAAATTCTGGGAAACATGGTTGTAGCTTAGCTATGCGGACACTACTACAAAATCACCACATCCTCTAAAATCAATACCCAGGGGTGGCTTTTCAGAGTCATCTCCTGGCCAGTAGACATTTTGAAGTGGTGGTGGTTGGGGGAATGTAAGCGGGTAATGGGGAGATGCTGAAGGGGGCTTTCTTGGAGGTCTTCAAGATGGGTCTATCACAGATAAGTAGAAAAGCCAGATAGGTGCTAAATATATTATATATCCAAATGTTCAAAAGTATGTATCCATAAAAAAAAGCTTGACCTTACAACTGGACCAAAATGATGTCTGAGAAGTGCTGAAGCATAATCAAGATAACGAGTGTCCAGGCTTTTGCTGGATACCGTCATGGCAACCCACTCCATTTTCCTCTCCTTTTCTCCTCTGAGCTCTGGGCAGGACAGAAGAAAGGAAGCCATGGGATGTAGCGATGGGTATAACCAGAACCACCTCAGGGGCTGTAAAAGGGTCCCCTGAAAGCCCATTCACCAACTTCGCCTTCAGAGTGTAAGGTGAGTTCGTTCCCAATGTACCAGAATGGAATGGAACAATAAGCCATATTCCACCGAATGTGTAGGCTTGTCTTGAGAAACACTTCCTCTCTGTGGGGAAGCAGTGGGTGCGGCGAGATGATAAAACAGGTGGAAGGCAGGTCTTTCCAAAGCCCAGAACCTGAAGTGGCTGCATAAAGTAAGGCTGTGCCTGAGTTTTGCACTTCTCTCCTTCAGTGGACAGATCAATAGTTCCATGGGAAACTTTTTTGGTCATGTGTATCCAGGGCTGTTTCTGTTCTTACATGGACTGTATCAGGCAGTAGTAATCTCCAAAGCTATAATATCCAGCGACTCTCTCCTATATCCTTCATCCCCTCCCAGGAATAAGGGAAGATGTGCCAGGCTGCGGAAAATATCCTATGGAGGTCTGTTGAAGATGGTGGCTGGCTGCTTCTTGACAGTTTATGAGGTCATCTGCATTGAAGGAGGGTTGATATTGATGAACAGGGAACTGCCACCAAGGTTCATGTACCCCAAAGAGTGGCAGCACCTCACCATGTTCATCCTCCTCACTCTCAATGGCTGTGTGGACTTTGTGAGCAAGAATGTGCTGCCTCAGAGGTGTGTGGGCCTAGAAAAAGGTACCCTGGTCCTGATCATCTATGAGCTCCTGCTGCTGATGGTGTCACATGTTAAAGACTCAGAAGGGGTGGAGCTGCACGTGCACTCTCTGCTCATCCTGGTGGTGTTCCTGCTGTTGCTGGTGTTCACTGCAGAGCTGTGGGCTCCCAACATGTGTCATCTCCAGCTGATGGAGACCTTTCTGATCCTCATGATGGGCTCCTGGCTGATGCAGGCAGGCTTTATTCTATACAGACCTGTCTCTGGCTACCCATGGGAGGACGATGACATCAGTGACATCATGTTTGTCACCACCTTCTTCTGCTGGCATGTGATGATCGATGCCTCGTGCCTGTTGGGAATCTACGGCTTCTCTTCCTTTTGGCATCGTTGTTACGCTCCCAGCTTGAAGCTGACGGGGCCCAAGGAAGCTCCGTGTTACGCAAGCCCTCCAGGACCCCTCTACAAGTTGCTGCAGGAAGTGGAGCAGTCAGAGAAAGAGGACCAGGTCCTCCTTTTTTCAAAGAGCTCCCCTGAGACAGAGTCTATAGTGGCTGGCACATCATCCACCTTGCCTTCCTCCTGCGGGCTCCTCAGCCACGAGCATGGCACCCTCCTTGGTGAAGGCAATGGCCTTGAAGGCTAGCAGTTGGTCCTGTCTGCGGATGCATTTTCTTTTCTTTTCTTTTGGAGACAGAGTCTCGCTCTGTTGCCCAAGGTGGAGTGCAATGGCACAGTCTCGGCTCACCGCAACCTCCGCCTCCTGGGTTCAGGCGATTTTCTGCCTCAGCCTCCGGAGTAGCTGAGATTACAGGTGTCTGCCACCATGCCCATGCTGGTGCATTTTCTATCCCTGAGACTGTAATTACTGAGAAGATACGGAGAGAGGGATTGAGAAAGAGAGACGCTGATGAGATTTGGGGGAGGGAGGGAAAAGGACCAGGAGAACAAATTAGTGTGCAAGAAAAGCCACTGGGGGAAGAGACGGCAACAAAAGGAAGGAAGGGCTGTGAAGGGAGAACAGGGTCTAGCAGTTATGCTGTCACTAGCGGCTTCGTCAGCCAGGAGGGATTGCCTCTTACCTGAGGGAATGAAGACTTCTCATAGCTGAAAACTGGAACTATTCAAGTCCCATCTTGATAAAGAAAAGTGGGTACTTTCTGTGCTCACCAGAGTGGTGCCACCGTGTGGAAGTGGCACAACAGAATTTATAATTAATTCATACAGGTTGAAATTATGCTCATTTTGCCTCCTCCTCTCCCCCAGCTTTCAAGAATTGGCTTCATTTCAAATTTTACACATAAAGTGAGACTTCTAAAATACCTTAATAACATTTCAGATTTCCATAGTTCAAATTTTTATAGAATTCAAATGCTATAGCATTTTTATAGAATTCAAATGCTTGGTACTTTCCTGACTTCTCATTTTGTTACTCTCACGGTAGCCCAAACTTTCCTGTTTCACCATGACCACCTTGCACATGCAACTCTTGGGTCTTTGCGAATTTCTTTTCTTTGCATATCACAACCAGTCAACCTACAGTCACATATTTGCCACGTTCTTAGATTCTGGGAATAAACCTACACCCACCCATCACCTCACCAAGTATCCCCAAGTCAGCCTTCTCCAAGAACTCTTATTGATTCCCTTGTTTTGGAACTCTTAGGCACTTACGTTTAATGTGCCCTGTTATTTTGCTCATATAGGTGACACACTTTCTTTTATACTACCGCTGAAATCATTTTCCTTCAGGAAATTTTTCCTCACACACTAAAGTACAGGCTTCTAAAGGGAAAAGATTTTGCCTTATCCAAGTTACAAAATTTCCTGTGTATACCCCAGCTATGGATCATGGTTGATGTTCAATAAAGGTTTCTTTGCTTCCAGAGTCTTCCCAATCCTGTTTCTTCTAAATGTTCTGCTGGATAGGGAGGAGGTTTTGTGAACCTCTCTGGGTGACAACAGTCCTGAACCCTGAGTCATTACCTTAGTAATGGACCCACTCTCTTCCTTGTTCTGGGGTATAATAAAATCCAGTAACTTGTTTCTGTAGTTGACCCTGTTATTGTTTTGTAAACCTCACAAATGTTTCTATAAGGAATCTCCAGAAAACGGAGACTCCAGCAGGATGGCTTGCCCAAGTCCCACAGCTGGTATGAGGCAAGACAGGAACTTAAGTGCAGGTGTGTCTGACGCAAGCGTGACTGTGTCCTCTGGGACAATGACTTTGCTAATGGCAATGGAGAAGGGAGTTATTTCAAAATGAAAGAAATAAAATTGTGAAATGAAGAAAGAAAGATGGCTGGGCTCTGTGGCTTACAGCTGTAATCCCAGCACTTTTTGAGACCAAGGGGGCCGGATCCCTTGAGGTCAGGAGTTCAAGACCAGCTTGGCCAACATGGTAAAACCCTGTCTCTACTAAAAATACAAAAATTAGCCAGGCGTGGTGGCGTACACCTGTAATTTCAGGTCCTCAGGAGGCTGAGGCAGGAGAATCACTTGAACCTGGGAGGTAGAGGTTGCAGTGAGCTGAGATTGTACCACTGCACTGTAGTCTGCATAACAGAGCAAGACTATGTCTCAAAAGAGAGAGAGAGAGAGAGAGAAAGTCAGCCAGCCAAAAAGTCCACGTAAAGCAAACAGCACAGTGTAAACAGCCTAGACCTCCCTTAGGAGTGTGTTTATGTAACACTTTCTGTTCCCTGCCCCGACCCCCAGTCTCCCCTGGGGGGTGAGAATCTGGCAGACTCTTAACTTCTGGCTGGGTGTTATATTTTTGGGCTCAGATCCAAAGTGAGGGCTGGGGATAAGACTTGTCTGTGACCAAGGCTTCTAACGTTTGCCATTTCCCCTTTACTCTTGGTTCCTAGGCTCTTTTCAATTACCTTTCTCCGGGAGCCTTCCTTTTCTGTTTACCTCTCTTACACATTAACGGGAGGTGATGAAAAAGCACAAACACTTAGCTGCCTGTTTCTGTCATGAGCCGTAATTCCATAACAATAAGCCTCTGATACTCAAGTGATACCCCCCTCAAATATTCAGTGTAGGCAATAAGCCTGCCTGTTATTAACTTACTATATTTACGACGTAACAGAAAGGTCCTCCCCCTAAAGGCTACTCAAGAAAAAACTCAAAACACTCAAGCTTTTGGGGAGAAGTCTGTCATTCTCACAAAATTCCACCAGAGGGCACTAGGTTCACACCACCCTGGCCAAACCCCGGCCTCTCCAACCCCACTAAACAAGTCTCCCCAGAACGGCTTTAACAGAAGTGAGAGAGGAGAAAGGACAGGGAAAATGCAGAACCAGACTAAGAATTGCCCAAGCATCCAGAAAACATACCCTAGACTGTTGGTTTCCCGTTAAAATTTGGCAAGTGAGTGTGAAATAAACAGGGATCCAAATTAACAAATAGGATGGGAGGGGAGGGAGGAAGCGCTGTGGATCCCATTGAGGATTTCTTTGGAAATGGTATCAACTAAAGCACATACTCTGATCTAAATAGTTTTTTGATGAGAATGCTAAGTTCCCTAATTTTTAAATTAGCTTCAATAGTGTTCTAATCAATCTACAGAACAAAGATGTGTATGGTGTCAATTGAGAATAAAAGACAAAATGTATCTACAAAAACCCCAGATTCCCAAAACAATAAAACTAGAGGCAGATTAGCAGATGTGCAAAATGATCTCCGAAGAGTCCTTCAAAGAGAATCTGCCCTACAGTGTTTTTTTTTTTTTTTTTTTCAGTAATCTAGAAATACATACTGAGTGTCTGTTAGACAGAAGTCACTGGGTAAGCCTACCCAGGATTGAGAACTGAATGGTTGGTCACTGTCCTCTGCGCCTCCCTCAGTGAGGATGGTAGGAAGTTCAGTATTTTAGAGATGGTGGCCCAGGAACACATCACCCACAGACCAGAGACTAAAGGAAGGGGAACAGAAAAAGAATAGCACCTTGAAAGCACATTGCTCTAAAATACTGCCCTATGTTACTATGAGTTATCTAGGCCTCAGTTCCTCATCTTAAAGATGGAATGATGTGAGGATCTCATTCTAGAATGGTATGGCTTTAATTTTCTCAATAGGACAGATCTCCCCATCTTGTTAACTAAGATGAGCTCGATTCTTCCCAACTTTCCAAGTAGTTTCCTGTTAAAGACATGATTCAGGGTAGAGCGCAAACAGACCCAGACCTTCCGTCCTCACAAGCAGTTTGGGAATTGAAGTGCTCCTTATATTTGATTGAGTTCAGCAGGCATTCAACAAAACTCAAATCAGACTAGAGATATGGCTGAGAACTTCCAATTTCTTGTCTTGAACCAAAAAACATCAAACGATCAAAGACTATAAAGAACAATTCCTCCATTCTGAGTGCTAGTTATTGAAGTACAATGTAGTCTTTCCTTCTCTGATTGTATAAAGTGAAATTCGAAAGTTTGGCCAAGTACAGCTTCTCCCTAAACTATGGTTTAAGAATAATGCTATCAACTTCCAGAGCTGTTTCTTTTCTTCTTCATTTTTATCATGACTATTTTGATTTGGTTTAAGATTCTACTATGGTCCATTCTTTTGGAAAGAACTGATGTTGGTTTATTACATAATAATAATTAAAAAAAATATTTTACAATTCTGGGTTGGGTTTCCAGGGTGTTCCCCATCCCTGGGTCTCAATTGTGTCTCTTTAACATGATTTAAAGGTCACATTGAATGCCTGTTGAAATCATTCATACACAGGGAAAACTCCATTTCCTAAACAGGAAGAGTTTGGGTCAATGTGAGCCCTACCCTAAATTTTGTGTTTAATGAGTATAAGGGAATCACATAGGCCCTGAGAAGGCACTCCAGATCGCTGAGTTAAGGACTTCACACTTGCAGAGTGAGAATGGACCCTTTAAAAGACAGAGAAAGGGCCAGGTGCAGTGGCTGACACCTGCAATCCCAACACTTTGGGAGGCTGAGGCGGGTGGATCACAAGGTCAGGAGTTTGAGACCAGCCTGGCCAATATGGTGAAGCCCCATCTCTATTAAAAATACAGAAAAGCAGATGGGCATGGTGGCGCATGCCTGTGATCCCAGCTATTCAGGAGGTTGAGGCAAGAGAATTGCTTGAACCCAAGAGGTGGAGGTTGTAGTGAGCTGAGACTGAGCTACTGCACTCCAGCCTGTGCAACAGAGCGAGACTCCATCTCAAAAAAAAAAAAAAAAAAAAAGACAGAGAAAGAAGTTGTGAGGAGAACTCACAGGTAAAGTCCAACTTTCCAAGTAGTTTCCTAATAGAGTTAAGATTTGGGATAGAGCAAAACCCTAATACAAAGCCTTTGTTTCAGGCAACAGAACAACATTGAAGAAATACTTTTAAATCTTGGGCTATTTCTGCAGATTTTGAACAAAATCTTTCCCTGTAATATTGCTCTCCCACTCCACCCACCCCTTGGACATGGCAATTCTACTCTGAGAGAGAAAAACATGACTTCAAAGCACATGCAGTGGAACCCCTTGTCAGCTTCGATACGGTGTGTACCGAGAAACAGAACAGTTCATGGGTTCAGGCATTCTAATGCTCTTTTTATGGAGGAGGTGAAGAATGGGGGCGGGTGGCAATTTAGGGAAGAAGGGGAAGGAGAAGAAAGGGCAGCAGACACAGCAGAGTCAAACTGGATGAAACAGGCCATTTTACTTTTAACTTCTCTAAAAGTACAGTCTGGGTTTCTGGGGGTGAACCAGTTCAATGGTTTTCTTCTGCTTTTTCTTCTCGTATATGCCTAAGCCTCCCTGGTCAGATCTTGGACTCATCTGGGCCGGCATTTCGTCAGTTTAAGTAAATGTGGGGCTGACCAAGGAGGACAAGGCCTGTTGTTCACTCCTGAAGGAGTCAGTGGTCATGTATTATGTTCCTAACCCTTACAAAGCACGCCCCTGGTCACATGAACGGATCAAAGCAAATCCATTTCCATTCTCGGAAAAGCAGCTCAAAGCACATGTTCTCTTGATGGTGCCGCTGTCACTTCTGTGTGGTTAACAAATATCATTTATTGAACACTCGCCCTGGACACTACTGGGGGATATGACAATGAATAAACTGTTCGATGAGGTCAAGACATCTAGCAAGGGAAGCAGGCACTCAAATGGCAGAAATACTACAGCCTGCAGAACTGCACCCGTGCCTTACCATTCTGTTCTGTTCTGTTTGCCATCCCCATCCTGGGTGCTGGTGGTGTGTGCAGCAAAGGCTCTGGCTTATGGTTTGGTAGTTTGGTATCTGGAGATTATTAATACCATCTTTTAAAATAAAAACATCAGTTTTCTCCTCCTTTGCTCCCCTTCCTCAACCATTTAAACCCAAGACTTTACAGAAAGAAATGAAGACAGCTCACTCTGTTATCAAGTTTTAAGTCCAGTTTGATATAACGAATGGTAACGCATTACACTGAGTCAGAAAGTTGTATTCAAAAGTCGCTATGGGGAAAGAAAGAATCCAATCACCTCAGATTATCTTGGCCTATGATAATAATAATAATAGATGTTTTCTAAACATTTACGACGCACCAGGTACTACCCGATCTCTTCTCATGTGCTATCAACAACTAAACCTTTTATCAGGTAACAGTTATTACCCCTATTTCATTATGGACAAAGTAACAGGCTTCATGTGGCTAAGTGATTTGGCCAACACAAAGCTGGTATGAAGGGAAAGCCCAGATTTGAACCTAGATTTGCCTGACCTGAAGCTGTGCCTTTATCTACCACGATGTAATACTTCAAGGTGCAGCACTGAAATTTAACAACGAATTTGTAAGTCACCTGACATGGTCCAAAATGTCACCAGTCTGAAACTCACCAAAAACCTGTTTGAGGTGAATGCTGCATCTGTCATTTAAAAGCACCACAG